GTTCACCCTCTTCGTTATTATTTTTACACCTCTCTTGCGATTAGTGATCATTCGTAATGTACAACTCCGCAGGCAGCCTCATAAAATGTTTGAATGAGAGGAATCAGCCACTATTCTCCTGGGATTTTCGAAAAAAAAGATATCCAGTAGACTTGTTTTTCAACATCTCTTTCCGCACTGTCTGGCAAAATTCGATTTATTAAAAATAATTGTGCAAGAGAATTGTTTCAAGATTGGGTCCCAAAAATATTATTACTAGTTTTGGGAATGGGGCAGGAAAACTTATTTACCCCGGGTTTTCTGGGATTTGTAGTCCCCTTCGATTCTAAATGCATTTACATATTCTAATCAAAAGTTTTCTTTACTAAATTGGTGAGTCAACGATTTCTATGTTCGTGTAAGGTTCGTGTATTGTTCAGGCGGCCCACCAATCAGCACCTATTGTGAATATGCAGGAATTGACTTCAGAGAGCAAATTGTTGAAAAGTATTGATCGTTGAATTGATATTTTGAGTAGTACATTCATTGAAGTGGTCAGAATTTTCGTGAAATTTTGCTCAGGATACCGAAAAAATCGATTTTCTAATTTTAAGTTAGTATTCCAACGACTGGAGAGTACTTAAATAATTAAAATGTCAATAATTAATAAAACCATATACTTACATCTGTGTTTATTTTAAAAAAAAAGTTAAAATACCTGAAATTACACCTCCATGGATTCTCGTTTACTCTTTGGGAAACCTACAACAATATGTATTTACGATACGAAGCCATCCTTCATTTGCAGCTAACAAATTTCAGAGTGATTATTGCAAGCACTATGTGGCCTGTGAGCAGAGGTTGGAGCGCGAAGAACGACAGTGCGTACGTTTGCAAAATAGCAGTAGAGTGCAGCATGGAACGGATTGCATGAAGCAAATTGATGAGGCGAAATCGGCGCTGGGTGGACTGCGATTGAGGAAAACTGAACTGGAGAAAGATTGCGCCATGCGAAGTCACGAAACTGAATTAACTGGTTTCACACATTTTCAGGTACTATAATTTCTGGGTAAAATTTCAGGCTGAGAGCGAAGAAAGAAATGAAGCGAGAGACTTGCTGGAACATTAGGACTGGAGGATGGGCTAGCAAAATTATTGACGGCGCGCATCATGCGTTTTTTGCGGTTTTT